GGCACTGACTGGGGAAATGGGCACAGTATGCACTGTGAGCCTGACACAGAAGTTGGCAGCAGTGGCAGACAACTGACTGCTATTCAATCTATAACAGTGAAAAAAGTTTTTTGTTTTTAAATCCAAGCTATTGTGACACCAGATGTAAGTGGTGGTACTGACTGGGGAAATGGGCACAGTATGCACTGTGAGCCTGACACAGATGCTGGCAGCAGTGGCAGACAACTGACTGCTATTCAATCTATAACAGTGAAAAAAGTTTTTTGTTTTTAAATCCAAGCTATTGTGACACCAGATGTAAGTGGTGGCACTGACTGGGGAAATGGGCACAGTATGCACTGTGAGCCTGACACAGAAGCTGGCAGCAGTGGCAGACAACTAAGTGCAATTACATTACATAGAAAATAAAAATAAAAAAAAAGCATACCCTTATCCCTAACCTAGCTATGCTTTTCCCTATCTTATGAACAGCAGCTACACTTTCCCTCCTCTTACTAAGCATGCAGCTTGAGAATGAATCTTAAATGGATGCTGTCCAGTAGGTGGGAGGGTCTGCTAGGGAGGCTGTGCTGCTAATTGGCTGGAATGTGTCTGCTGACTGTGAGGTACAGGGTCAAAGTTTACTCAATGATGACGAATAGGGGGCGGGTCGAACCGCGCATATGTTCGCCCGCCGTGGCGAACGCGAACATGCTATGTTCGCCAGGAACCGTTCGCCGGCGAACCGTTCGGTACATCACTATCCTAGACTATTCATTGAGCACTTTTCTTCTTGTCTTTCCCACTTCCTCTCATCTAGCACTCCTTCCCTTATACTTGGAGATTTCAATATCCCAATCAATAACCCCAATTGCACTGATGCCTCTCGTCTGCTCTCTGAAACCTCCTCCTTTAGCCTTACGCAATGGTCCCATTTAGCAACCCATACAGCAGGAAACACTCTTGATCTTGCCTTCACCAACCTCTGTACTGCCTCTAATCTCTCCAATATTCCTTTTCCTCTATCTGACCACCATCTGCTGACTTTTGACATTGGCATACCTAAAACCCAATTGACACCACCGTCTGAACATCACTCTCACAGAAACCTCCAATGTCTTGACCTACAACATTTCTCCACTAATCTCCAAACTCTCCTTTTACCTATCTCAAACCTCACCTGTCCTAGTTCTGCAACCTCCTTCTACAATTCCACCCTCTCCTCTCAACTAGACATCATGGCACTTTGTACATTTAAACGCCGCAGGCCCCCCCAACAACAACCCTGGCACACCAAGTTCACTCGATACTTCCAAAAATGCTCCAGAACTGCTGAACGCTGTTGGACAAAGTCTCACTGTGCATCTGCCTTTCTCCACTATAAATTTATGCTGAGCTCATACAGCTTGGCTCTTTCCTCTGCAAAAGTTAATTACTTCAATACCCTCATAACCACACTCTCCCGCGAACCCAAACGACTATTTCACACATTTAACTCTCTTCTTCACCCTGCTGTTCCTCCTCCACCTACTAACTTTACCTCCTCAGACTTTGCAACTCACTTCACTGACAAGATCTCTACAATCAGAGAAGAGATCTCTCATCTTTCTTCTTCCCCTTACAATACTTCCCCTAACTTCACTCCCTCCGCTGTTCTATGTTCATTCGCACACGCTACATTGGAAGAGGTTTCTGCTCTGCTCCAGTCCTCCCGCCCCACCACCTGCTCCCTAGATCCAATTCCCTTGCATCTCATCCGTACTCTGTCTTCTTCTCTTTCTCCACCTCTCACTAAAATTCTCAATCTCTCTCTCTCCTCTGGTATATTTCCATTGCCCTTCAAACATGCAACTGTAACCCCAATTCTAAAGAAGCCCAATCTTGGCCCTAACTCCCCATCCAACTATCATCCTATCTCGCTACTGCCTTTTGCATCCAAGATCCTTGAAAAAATTATGTATGCGAGATTGACAGACTTCCTCGAGTCCAACTCTCTGCTAGACCCACTTCAGTCTGGTTTCCGCGCTAAGCACTCTTTGGAAACGGTACTGACCAAAGTATCCAATGATCTACTCGCTGCAAAATCTCGTGGTAACTACTCTATCCTAATTCTCCTTGACCTGTCTGCGGCTTTTGACACTGTTGATCATCAACTGCTTCTTCTCATCCTCCGCAATATCGGTCTACAAGATATTGCTCTCCTGGTGCTCATCCTACCTCTCCCAGCACTCTTTCAGTGTTTCTTTCTCTGGCTCTGCTTCTTCTCCCCAAATCCTCTCTGTTGGTGTCCCCCAAGGTTCAGTCCTTGGTCCCCTATTGTTCTCCATCTATACTGTCTCCCTTGGTAAACTCAGTAGCTCCTTTGGCCTCATTTCTATGCAGATGACATGCAAATCTACCTGTCCTCTCCTG